CTCAGTAGGAAATCTGATTATTGAATCTGATAGAATGGATTTTTACAAATCAGTTTTTAATGATTGTGGTTATTTCACATAATGTGCATTACTTCAGCCTGTTGCTTGTTTTTACATCACATTCCTTTTTTTGAAAAACCTAATCGGAATGGTCTCCAGCTAAAACAATGGAGCTAAAGTTGCCCTGCTCTGCTGAAACAATGGCATAGCTGTTCCTCCGCCTTCATCATTAAAGCAGACCTGCCTCTCAAGAAATACAGCTGGCGACAGATACAGTACACCTGAGATGACTCGCCCAACAACAGCTTTCTTTGCAGAGCCTTTGACAGTAAATCTGTGGGCCTTAGGTCCTGTCAGTGCACATGAACACTTACACGGCGCTGGGTTTGTTACCTGACTGAAATGCAGTATTTCACAGTAATACAGTATTACACAGGTCTGTTTGTATTACTTGAGAGAATAGCTGTAACTAGTAAAGGGACAGTGAGTAATAAAAACATCTGCAATCATCCTGTTTCTGACAAACTAAAGCTCACTGTCCTCTGGACCTCCAGTCAAGAAGCTGACAGAAGCAAAATAACATTTCCCTGTGTGAACAAGCTGACTGTGTCTGTACTGAGGTTTTGAAGGTTTGACAGCGAATTAAAACATCTACGTCTCTGAGTATCAGTTGGCCAGCACAACAAGGGGGAGGATGACTCTGGGGAAGGCCGACAGCTCAACCACACTGGCTTGCTAAGTGGACTTTATGTAAAAACAGAGGTATCAATCAAAAAACAGAAACAAACAAAACACAGTGTGAATAGAGGTCTTCATAGGTCCACGCCATTCCATTATATGTACACACGTCAGATCATGCACATCAATATGCCAAGTATCTGAGTGGATTGAACAGGGCTTGCTTTAACTGTATGATTGTGAGATGTGCCATAGATCTCACGTGGTAGGTTGATTCTGAGCAGCCAGGAATGCGGGAGACAGACTCGAAAAATACATCAGGTTTTCTCAAATCAATAATTTATTTTAAACAAGTGCCAGGAAAGTATACATGCCAAAACAAAATCACTAAACAAACTAAATGGTTAACTTCACATAACTGAAGAAAACTCAACTCAAAATAACTCAATGCAACTTACAGGCACATGCCCACAGCTACACTTAGACTGCCACACTCCCAGCTGCTCCACCTCAGCTGATTAAATAGCCCCTGGTATCAATCAACCCTATCACATCCTCGATGACATCAGAGAGCGTACAAAATGAGGAAGTGATTAACCACCTCCTCCTTTATCATATATCTGCCCAGTAAATACAATTAAACATTTAACACACAGGTTAAGGCATTAAGAAACAGTACAGAGAGAAGCTGAGTGGCTTCTATTCTACTGCTGTACCCGGCGAATGTGGCAAGGCCTGCAGCACATCACAGACTACAGGACCACCACCAGCATCATAAGCTCCACAGACAGCCTGCTGGATGACCTCAACGCCTTCTACACCCACTTTGAGACCTCCAACCACAGCACAGAGAGGAGGCACACACACACCGAGACCACCCAACCCCCCTCCCCTTCATTAACTGTCTCATCAGGCCAGGTATGCAAAGCCCTGAGGAAGATCGATCCCCACAAGGCAGCAGGACCAGACAACATCTCTGGGCAGGCTCTCAGGGCATGTGCCAACAAACCTGCTGATGATCTCACCTCCCTCTTCAACCTTTCCCTCAGCCAGAGCATCGTTCCCTCCTGCTTTAAGACTACAACCATCGTCCCCCTTCCCAAGAAGAGCCCGGTGACCTGCCTGAATGACTACAAGCCGGTGGCACTCATTCCAATCATTATGAAATGTTTTGAGAGAGTATTGCTGGCCCACATTCAGAGCAGTATACCAGACACCCTGAATCCCCTGCAGTATGCCCACCTCAGATGCTATTGTGGCTGCCCTTCATTATTCCCTTTCTCACCTGGAAAATAGAGACTCCTACATCAGGATACTCTTCATTGACTACAGCTCCACCTTCAATACAGTTATCCCCCACAAGCTCACCCACAAACTGTCCACACTGGGTCTGCACCCCACACTCTGTGACTGAATCCTGGACTTTCTGACTGGCAACCCCCAAACTGTCAGGATTGGCAATAGGACTTCAGCCAGCATTATTACAAACATTGGCACCCCACAGGGATGTGTCCTCAGTCCCATCCTCTACACTCTGTTCACCTATGACTGTTCACAGATGACACCGCAGTGATAGGACACATCACTGGTGGGGACGAAGCAGCCTACAGGAGGGAGGCGGGC